CCAGCCATGCAATTGCAAGAAGGAAGTCTTACCAGAATTATGTGGAGTCATCTCCCTCTCTTTCTCTCTCCATGATGGAAATTTGCGCAGTACCATCACTTTGGGCTTTTATGTAAGAAAGATAATTTCGGCAGCACTTTGTGCAAGCATGCACGTGCACTTCTGAAGATTGAAAAGTAGAATAAGTCTTGCAAATTGTGTTAAGAATCATATTCTGAAGGAAGGAAGGCAGGATATATTATATAATTGATATTGTGTGAAAAAAGTCTGCCAAAATTAAAAACAGTTTCTAAGAAATAAGCAAATAATTCAGTGAATTACTCCGAGTATAGTTGCTCTGTCCATAAATGTCTTGAAGGAAATTAGTTTCTTTTGATAATTTTTTTAAGAATGTTATTTCAATTCTACAGATTTCCTCCGAACAACTTGCTGTTAATTTTCAGGATTCATTTGCTATTTTTTGTTATTTTATGGCTTATTGCCTAAAGCTATGATACCTGACTGAGTTAGTGTGCATAGGTGAACTCATTCTTAAAGTCTTAGTCATGATAGATTAGAACCTGTTACAGGAATTTGTAATAAAAGATTTTCAGGAGAGGAGTATCTGAGTGATGCTGTATGAAGTAACATAATATGCATGCTTCTGTTTTATTTTTTATTATAACTTTTAATTTTCTTATTTCTCAGGAAATGCAAAAATTCTTGCTAACTATATTGGTTCAGCACTCAGTCTGTTGGAATTCGAAAAGTTACAGGTGCAACAACCAAAGTGAGCCATGGGATAATTAACTGACTTTGGAGGCTTACACTAGCAATAGATTTGAGCTTTTGCTTGCTTGTTACCTGTGATATTTTTCTCCTCAGTTAACTGCAATATGTTCCTCATTAGCAATGGGCTTCTCGTTCTTTCAGTCTCTCTCTAGACGTGTAAATTCTCTGCATAAGTTTCACTTGGGGGGTTACTCTGATGGCTGAAGTATAAGAATTAAACCTTAGCACTTTGCAGGTGGTAAGCTTAAAGAGAATTGGTGAAAGTAAATGAGAGAAACCCACCGTTTTCAACAACTGTCCTGTGATTTCCCTTTTCCTGAGAAAGTTGCCTAATTTTTAACTTCTTGACACTATTGATTTTTTAAAGGTAAAACTGAGCATTCGTGTATTATGAGCGTGAATATACACAGTGGACCGGAGAAGATAAGCAAGGTTAACCTGTCTGGGTTTCAACCAGAAGGTCAAACACCATTCCAGTTGCTTTAAAAAATGAGCATCTAATATATGCCATAAAGGCTTTCTGGAATTT